GATTTACAGATGTGCCCTAGTTCGTAACCGGGTTAGATTTGTGTTAATTTATCCCCACTAATGTTCAAATGAAGGAAAACAAGTATCCACATAGGAGAGATGTACTTTATTTATCTTTCAACAGTGGCATAACCTTTGGAATCTATTCGGTCCTTCTGGAAGCAACTAAACCTTAATTCAAATGAGCTTCACTCCTCAGGTCAGGCATTATAAACTGTAACTTAGTAAGCAGGCACCTGACACTATCCCTATTAACAAGCCTGATAATTTGAGTTACCGTCTATATTAGAACAATTAGACCAAAACCCAATGAACTTATTTCGTTAAAAACCCAATCCTCGCACTGAGTACAAGGGTCGGTCGCCGTAGTATAAAGTTCTTCATGAAGTTCAAGTCTTTATTTAGCCACGGCGTTCCCAAGTGAGTTACCATGTCATCCACGTGTAGGATGTGACTCAGCCGTGATAGGTCACAGCTGATAGTGTGCTATATTTTGGCTTGGCAACCGCAAGAAACTAACTCAAACTCAGCCATTGTTTTCATCTACCTTCAGAGTATCCGGTAACACTTTGAGACGGAGTAATTTTTACTAATTTAATTTGAATCGTCCAATGATTAAGTGACAGGATTTCTGCCAGTTTATTAAGTTAATAAAAGTTCTGTATATGGCTACATCGTTAATTGACAGAAAATTAATGTATTATAGTATGGCAGTAAATTCAAATATGAATAATCACCATCGGTCAATCATGTGAAAATTTTTGTTGCATATATCGTAATAGAAACAATAACGACAAAAGTTTTGGAAAAATAATGGAAATGTCGAAGCTTAGGCGAACTTATTGAAACAAAACAATATTAGCACAATATGTAAAACAATATGTTTCGTAGCTTATTTGGACATATCGAACTCAAGTAGGCTAGTATTCTGCAGTATTTGCAACATTTGGTGAGACTTGAAATATATGTTCCAATATTATATTTTTTTCAATCACTGCCGAAGATACGAATTTAATGTTCGATCATAATTTAGTCTACAAAACCTTTTATTCAGTAGCACGCCTCTTTGTTCGGTCTACTCATATAGACTTAAGGATAAATAACTACGGAAAAAAGTGACGGCTGTCTTCAGATCTCGCTGCCTCGTCTTCGGATATTGCATCAGCCCGTGCAGACCTACCACAGCAATGCAGTGTGCACGCCTTAACGTTTCATCTCAGATAATTTTTTTTCACAATAAAAGACTCGTTTTAACATCGTTGCCGAAATTGAATGCCATTTAATGATATAATTTCGTTTAATCACATTTAGAGAGAATTAGCGAACCAACATCACACTCTATCACTTTATCGACAAGAAGGCTGTATAATTAATGGATTAAAGAACGTCTTTCGCGTTTCACAGCAGTCGCTCATTTATTGCTGCTATGCCCCATTGTGACGAGTTACGCACGCCAACTCGCGCCATCTTAAACAGGAGTTAGACAAAACAACTGCCGTCTTCTTGAAATTGATGTAGACAAGTATAATGGACCGTAGACTAAGTATATGGTATTGGTATATATAGCATAATAGCATAATACGCCGTATGCTAAGTTTAGTGGTGCAGGCCACATTTTCATAAGCAGCTCTGAGCAAGATAAGTTGTTGAATTCACTTTCGCTTCGATGTTTAACTGTCTCGCGGTGTAATTGACTAGAATTGATAAGATCCCGCTGATATTAAAAGCCTGAGGAGAACTATCAAACATTACAATTCACTTAATTATTAAACTCAATTTGCTGTGTTCATTAAATTAGTTAATTATTATTATTCCATTAGATTATTGAATCATTATTTACATTAAGGGAAATGACATTGAAGAAACCTATTGTTAGAATAAATGGATATTTTGATGTTTTATGACCCATCCATATGTCAGCTTCAAACATTAGTCGCTGTTATGATTCATGAAACTCTTTGCTTCACGATTAAAAGAAATCACTATGGAAATGTTCCAAGCAAAGAACGTAAGCCCATGGGGCGAGTTGAGAGCTGACAGAGATGAACATAAAGAGCTTCAGCTTCAGATGATGAAGAACATAAGATGAACATAAAAGAGATGAACATAAAGAGTTGAGAGCTGACAGAGATCAACATAAAGCGAGCAATTGGCCAGGCTATAGCAGAGCTGACCTAGAAACTGATGGGACAGAAGCAATGGCCCTTCTCAGCCCACCGAGCTGCCCTTGTGTCATGGCGACACGCACGCTACCTGCTCGTCTCTGGACCTGCAACCATGCACTGCAGTAAATAATATATAAAAATGAACAGTCGTAGAAATATCTTGGACTTTGAGGCAAGTTTTTCAAAACCTTTCAATATAGCCACAAAAATTTATTCCTAAATTAATAAAATGCATTTGCAGAATTTGCAGTTTACTTCAGCATGCATGTGCTGTAAGGACAGTATCTTATCATATCATTTTTTATCTAAAACAGCTGAGCAATGGCAAGGGCGAGTGCAGCGTCTCGGGTCTCCCTGCACCGCGCGGTGAAGTGACCTCATCTGAGATGAGCTTTGAACCTCACGTACGAACTAAAGTACCAGTCGCGTGTAATCAACGGCTATCAACGTCGCATGATCCGCAAACAGTCGAGATGTTAAAAATATTAACTATTTTCAAGTCCTACGGTGATCCGGAGGCAGTTATAAACTCCAGGATCGAGAGACGCATTCAGCTTCTGAAAGGAAGTTGATGATTCAATTTCGTGATGGCAGTTACTTCCACAAGAGTGACATCGACGTTGAGTAAATAGCGATTGCACTGCCACCGCATCATGAGTTCACTATATGCTTGAGAAGGTTTGCTAAATAACGCGTCGAAAACAGAACCAAGTAGAAATGCAATATTTCCTTAATATCGTATGTGCATGAGTTAAAACATTATGACAACGCGACATCATCTCCATCATCTCTCACTCCGATGATAACAAGGGAACGTGATGCGGGAGTCCTTCGTAACTATAACAATAGATTCCCCACGAACTCCTACGCTACAAAATTCAACATTTCTGGGACTCTTAAGTTCAGCGTAACAACAGCATTTATGCTGATAACGAAGAACTCTTAGCAGGGTTAGATAAAAATTACAAACCAAGAACATATTCCTTACCCAAGAATACAAAAATATAATACTACCTAACACAAGCGTTATAAACATACATATTTCAAGAAGCCAGTTGATTGAGTCGAATACTTATAAATGAAGTCACAAGTCATTAAGGATATCTGCATAAACTCATGAAAAGATGCACGACAGCTACTCCTTCAAATCAAGTTCCATTTCATTGTTTTTTAAGATCATTAAAAAAGTGAAGAACTCGGTAACAGCAACCCGTACTTCAATTAGATAACAAATTTCCAAAGCCTGTTGAAAAGAATCTCTTAAGTTCTAATGAGAATCAGATGAGGATGTTGTTTTAGAATTAAGAAAAAAGTAGAAAGGACTATATAATAGAGCTAATTGTATTGTATAAAAAAGTCTGCTTGTCGGTATAGGATCTTCTTAACAGGAACTAGTATTGAACAATGCTCCAATGTTATTTGATTTAATTCTATTCATAAAGCTTAGATTGATAAATTTCTCTACTCCAGCCGGATGTGTAGTTATCAAGACGAAGATAAATTTATCCGGCCAGTGCGTGAAGCGATTACCTGGCAAGCCTGCGAGCCCATAACTTGCCGTGGTGTTTTTTAGCGAACGCAGCAGCAAACTGCATGGCTGCAAGCAGTCGCTTCTAACGAAGGCAATAATGCAGTGTTGTGCTAAGCCGAGGTAGCAAAACATCATCACTAATGACCAAATTGAAGTTTACAGCACGCACGCCTTCTCTGCCCAGCATCAAAACAGAGGAACTCTGCCCAGCATCAAAACAGAGGAACTCTGCCCAGCATCAAACCAGAGGAACTCTGCCCAGCATCAAACCAGAGGAACTCTGCCCAGCATCAAACCAGAGGAACTCTGCCCAGCATCAAAACAGAGGAACTCTGCCCAGCATCAAAACAGAGGAACTCTGCCCAGCATCAAAACAGAGGAACTCTGCCCAGCATCAAACCAGAGGAACTCTGCCCAGCATCAAACCAGAGGAACTCTGCCCAGCATCAAACCTGAATCACTCTGCCCAGCATCAAAACAGAGGAACTGCCCAGCATCAAACCAGAGGAACTCTGCCCAGCATCAAACCAGAGGAACTCTGCCCAGCATCAAACCAGAGGAACTCTGCCCAGCATCAAAACAGNCAACATGCATGTTGCGTGCACAACATGCGTGGTGCACACAACATGCGTGGTGCGTGCACAACATGCGTGGTGCGTGCACAACATGGGTGGTGCGTGCACAACATGCGTGGTGCGTGCACAACATGCATGGTGCGTGCACCACATGCGTGTTGCGTGCGCACAATCACTGCGCACAAATTCCACGCGCTGTTAATGAGAGTGCAGGGTTCCATGTATGAGCAATGCCCGTGTAATGTAACGCGCACTGCAACGGTAGAATAGCAGATCGCTTCATGTAACAAGCAGTTACATAAGCTGACTAATTGAGCTCATAATAAGAATTGGGATTTTGTACTGAAAAATTTGCACACATTTTTCAACTGCTCCTATCGCTTTTGATCTATAGAAGCGCTTGTATTGAAAAGCTCTTAAAAGTAAACAAATATCGTCGCAAAAGTTAGCGAAATGTGTCATAATTATTGGAAGAACAAACACAGGAGTATGTCGGGCATAGACAAGCCAAGATTGCACCTGAACAACCTAACTAAAGTGCTCAGTCACAAAACTGCTGTACTTCACAGATCATTGTACTTCACTGCTTCATGGTTCACGTAAGTGAACGAAAGTGATCAAGTGTTATATTTGGGGAGAGTCTTGAAGATATATTAGTTTTTCTCTTCGGAATTTTGAATATTACGATTTTCTTTCCGTTTATTATTTCTTGGCCATGATGAATTTAATTTAGCAGTCACGATACAGCGGTACATAACAAACTGAACTGAGGGCAGCAGTGCTGAGGCAGCAGTGAGGGCAGCACCGCTGAGGCAGCAGTGAGGGCAGCACCGCTGAGGCAGCAGTGAGGGCAGCAGTGCTGAAGCAGCAGTGAGGGCAGCAGTGCTGAGGCAGCAGTGAGGGCAGCAGTGCTGAGGCAGCAGTGAGGGCAGCAGTGAGTGAGGGCAGCACCGCTGAGGCAGCAGTGAGGGCAGCAGTGAGGGCAGCAGTGTGGGCAGCAGTGAGGGCAGCAGTGAGGGCAGCAGTGAGGGCAGCACCGCTGAGGCAGCAGTGAGGGCAGCACCGCTGAGGCAGCAGTGAGGGCAGCACCGCTGAGGCAGCAGTGAGGGCAGCGCCGCTGAGGCAGCAGTTAGGGCAGCAGAACATAAGGGTAGCAGTGCTGAGGCAGCAGTGAGGGCAGCAGAACATAAGGGTAGCAGTGAGGGCAGCACCGCTGAGGCAGCAGTTAGGGCAGCAGAACATAAGGGTAGCAGTGCTGACGCTGCCTTGAGGTCACAGCTATTCACGCAGCAGAAGAAGGCTGCTCTCAGCCTGCCACAATAAAGACTGACCAAGAAATTCATATGCAAGTCAGTAACGTCTCTATACTTTACCGCCCATTGTGGGAGTGATAACTAAAATAAATAGGGTAGCGACAGCCGTAGTCTCATTGTGTGGTCAAATTACATGGCGTTACATGTTTTTTCCCTTTATTTCACTGATATTAATTGCAAGTTAAAGTGCTTTAGTGAGACGAATAAGCGCAATACACGTGATTGATGTGCTGCACTTTGATTGTCTTACGGTTATGTGCAGTGCGAGTAAAACATAAATTCCCCTCTCACTTCTAAATTTAAAAATTATTACATAAACAATGTGAAGTTTATGAACCAAGTGTAATTTGGTGTGAAAACTTTCAACCATTATGAGCGATATATGTTTACAGGTAATGATCTGTAAATATTTCGGTCAATTGTAACCCTCAAACAAATTTTATAACAGGATATAATATTATAATAATAATATAAATCCTGAAATATATACATAGGATTATATAACAATATAAATCCTGAAATTTACATGGGCAAAACGGCCCTTAATACGCTATGATATCACACAATTTACGGTTTAGTTTGGTTTAACGTCCGCCGTGATCGCACCAACATGAGCGAACAGCTCTCGTATATACGTGGTCCGAGCCGCAGAGCTGGGGCTGAGCGTCTAGCGTCAAGTCCCTGTATGCAGGGGCAGTTCTTCACTATTTGTCATCGTTTCATCGGGCTTTGTATATTCCTGCGAGACTTCGAATATTTATTTTACAGCACTTTAACTTCATTTCATGTTTGTCTGCTACAAATATTTTAATCGATATTTAACACACTTCTACCTGTCCAATCGATCTGAAAATTTGTACATTTGTGTAAAGTCGGAGACAATGCTTGAATCAATTGACAGAATGAAAAAAATGTAAAATAATTTTTAGATTAAAAAAGATTTAAATATATACACTTTTTTCAATATTTTGCAATAAAATAAGAAATTCATTGTACATGCGTAACATCGGCGACATCAACCTCTTCAGAAGTGTGGGCTTTAAAAAGTACGTTAAATAGTATTTTTTAAACGCATATTTTATTTACACGAGGGTTTATCGCTTTGGCTCTGGCCTAAAAAAACGATGCTGGTCCTTGGTTCATATATGATTGTTAGATCGCAATGCATATTCTATGCGAGAATTGTCTTACAGAAAAATCATTGGTAACAACAACGTATTATTTGCCTGACACCATTTAAAAAGTTCACTCATTAATTAAGGTTTTAGTGTTCTTACTGACCATCCAAATCACCATAAGCTGCTAAGTTATTCATCACTCGACAAACAGCAAGCTTTGTTTTTAGTTCTCCTTAACCCCACTCTGTGCTCGAGTATAGTAGGTGTGATAAAAAAAAACAGGTATTTAGCAGCGACGTCTTGTGGCGCCAGAGAGCCCCTTGTATATACGACGTAGCTCAGGTAATTCAGCCTTTTAGGTCAAATGCCAGCCATTGCCTGCCTGTCGGCCAACTACATCGCTGCCACAGCCTTGCGCCACTTCCTACCTACATCGTGGCATGAGATTAAAGCCAATTACTTATGGATAAATATTTACGACGTGTCTCTCTTTATATCGTCGTAGTATACGATCATTCATATAAATGTAAATAAGTTGACATTTGCGAGACTATGTCTCATGCAATTGCCACTTCCTACCTACATCGTGGCATGAGATCAAATCCAATTATTTATTGATAAATATCTATGATGTGTCTCTCTTTATATCGTCATAGTATACGATCATTCTTATGAATGTAAATAAGTTGACAAATGCGGGACTATGTCTCATGCAATCGCGGTAAATAATGAACGCTTCGGCTGCTAACTGAAAATCTTGCAGCAACAACATAGCTTTTACTCTTTCTATAGCAGAACAAAGAAATATTTTCTCGTGTGAAGAAACATCCAATTTGCCACGCTGCACGGAACACTTTGCTTCCTGATGGCCGTTTCGACTGCCAACTATCAGCAGCGGCGCCAAAGCCATGCACCACTTTATTCTTCTGCCGATCGTTTATCTAATTATGCATCTATTTTTATCAAGCAATGCTCTGCATGCTAACAGACTCGCAGAAATTCTGTTCTTATCGAGCGTTGAACCCATTGGCTTCCTTTGGCAAACACAAACTGGTGATGGTTTAGCATCCCGAGTCTATAAACAGGAAAAAATTAATTATTGTCGTTAAATTAGTGAAGCAGGTAACGAAAGACATAATTGTTGCTAGGGGTCGTTGAAAATAAAAGTGAGAAATTTGCAACGGAGAATCATTAATTTAGAAATTAAATAATTCATAAGTTATTAACTAATTTAATAATTCCTATCTAAGCTATCTTATACCTCTTGTTCACTGATATCTATACCTACGTACATTATTGCTCTGGCGCTCATTAGTTGACATTATATCATTTTTTACTTATTAAAAACGGAGTGCATCTGTATGAAATAAAATAGTGAATTTTTATAAACTTTTACGAATATCCTAGCGTTACCGTCAATAACGCAGATATGACGGAGATGGACCAATTAGCGTGAAGAAATAAAATAAGGAGATATTTTACGATGAAAAAGCAAGACACTATAAAGGAGATAAGAATGCTCGGCAACGAGTGCCTGATAAATGATAATGAGAAAACAACAACATTGAGATGAATATTCATAATTGAAGGCAATCATATAATAATAAACTCTATGAAGCAGTAAATGTTTTGTTCTATGTAGAGAACGAAGAGAAAATAATACAGAAATATCTAAGGCGGATTAAAGGTGAACAAATAACTAGATTATTTGAAAATATTGTCACGACAAGAAGCGGCAAGAAAGTGAGATCGACGCACAATTAGAAAGAGCATATTGGGAACATGTGCTCTATCACACATAAAAATCGAGGGCACAAACAGAATAAATAGAGCTTGGGGACTAGGAGAGAGCCTGTAGAGCAAGGGCCTGAAGCAGCAGCTCAGACTACACCTATACCCACAACACCAGCAGTTGCAGTGTTTAGGGTAATAAAGCACCCTGGCTGACAGAGGCGGCCGAGGCTAGTTAACTGCAACAAACGTGACCTAAAACAACACCAGGCATGTAAAGTTGCGGTGTTTAGGGTAATACAGCACCTTGGCCCACAGAGGCGGCCGAGGCTAGTTAACTGCAACAAACGTGACCTAAAACAACACCACCGCGAGCTGCTACAACCATCGCTACTCAAGCGTCGTAGCTACTTTACATTTACTGCATCTCTGTACGCTGTTTGCAGACCAATGTGTACCAAATGTACTGCGTAAAACATGATAATCATGTTAATTAGATGAAAAATTAGCGCACCATGCCTAGGCAAAGTGGTCAAGCCGGAATCTTGATTTAAATACATTTCCTTTTATTGTCGTGTTTCCTAAAACTACTAAACTCTCTATTCTAATATATTTTGGAGTAGTCGAAGAAGATTATCTCTTTCTCCTAAATTGATGCATTTGATTCAATTGAACCAGAAGAAAAATTAGAGACTCATTACACGTTCTAACATGCGAAGTCTTTTCGCTGATGCAAAATTAATTGGCCAGACCAGGCTTCAAAATTTGTCATTTACTATATGCCAGTGGAAGCCATGAAATAAATAAATCGTAATTGCAACGAAAGTACTTCACTGAACAATGAAACTCGCTGAGGTATTGCACATCTGATTTCGAAATATACATTAGCATGCGTTGCTTTCGACTCGTGATACGTATAAAGAATATATAATTAGGTGCTTAATTTTGAGCATTCTCTTCACCTTTAGATCGATTTGTTGCAACTTACTTCGTCTTGAATGAACTCTGTACACGACATGCCGTATAAATAGCTCCTATTAGTTCATTTTACCATCGCTTGGTTTATTTCGTCATTAAATTTAATCTGAAAAGATTAAAGTATTCCAGCGGGATACTGGGAACTAAACTGGTACACCTACAAGAATATTAAGTGTTGTTTCCTTTGTGCCATGATAGTGAACGCGATGGTGAAGAGGCTTCGTTTCATGTATACGGCTTCAGCTCGTCAATGGAGGACACTGTTGGCATTCGCGTGACCAAACTACACTTCTTGAACATGAGGACTCGCTTTTGATGTCAATTTCGATATTTTTTGATGCATAATTTAAGCTGGTTGCAAAAGGATATCATATAGTACACACGCTTATGACGAGAACTGATGGCAGCGGTGGCAGAACGCTCGCCTTGACTCACTGATAGAGTGAAGGTGAGAACTGATACTTTGTTGTGTGGTAGCTATACTTGTAAATTAATTAAATCCCATGAATAGATTCCAGATCGAATTTGAGCGCTGCTATGTCTTTGGGGCTTGCAGCTCGCGAAACAATCATTTGGTATTTTGTGTAGACCTTTTGCTAAATCGTCGTAAGATAGATAAATAATTATTTGCCTCTGATTCTCGTCAAACCATTCTTGTTACTGAAGGTTTCCTTAAACTTGCCTACTGCCAAATTAAATATGCAATTCAAGTAAGAATAGCAGTAAAAATTAAATGACCTGATAAACATACTACGTAAGATAATAACATCATTCGTTATTATCTTAGTAGTGAATGTTTACCAATCGTTCAGTGAATGTTTACCAATCGTTACCAAAGACTCACGTCGGTTGCAACTTCAGTGTCAATCAGAGTATCGTTATTTACATGTATCCTCATAATAAAATTTAATTTAAAATCACTGATGCAAGTCATGTTTGTTATACGTGCGATGCCACAGTAATGCCTGCGACTGCTTGCCGAGCAGGAGTAATGCTTACGACTTCACAGGACTTACGACTTCACAGGACTTACGACTTCACAGGACTTACGACTTCACAGGACTTACGACTTCACAGGACTTACGACTTCACTGGATTTACG